ATAGACACTTAGGGTTTTGGGTTAGAGTAGTGGTGGAGGGTGAAACTGGCACCATGCCGGCCTCTGCCTCTTCTTCTTTCCCTTTTTAATTGCTCTATAGAACAACATGCACCAACAGTACATCTGGGGGTGGGGGTGTGTGTGTCAYGGTCTTTACTCCCCTCCCGTTCCCCGACTGCCATTTGGGGAGAGGGTCCAGAGGAAAGGCAGGCCGCCAGGTGTGGGCCTAAACTACAGGTGGGTTCGGGGCTTGGACGGTTGCCGGGGACGGGGCTGGCGGTCTGTCCTCCCTGGGGCTGTTTGGACTCCTGGAATGTGGCTCCTGATCGCTATGGATGGCTCGCTGGCCAGGGTGGCTGCCGGGGTCTGGTGGGTGGTTGGCTGGGGGGTGTGTGCTTGGCCGTTGGCGGCATGGAGGGGGTGTTTGGCTGTGGCTTCTCTGCAACGGGGGGGCTGACTYGGTGGCCTGGTGCGGCCCGGGCCGGGCCTTGGCTGTTTGCTCCTCTCCACCCCAGAATGAATGGGTCTACTCCCTGGGTTCGGGGGTGTTCTGCCACCTGCAGGGGGCAGATGCATATTCGGCAGGGGCCCATGAGTTTGCTGCTGCTGTCCRCGGGGAGTTACTGCGTGTGGTCGCTGGTGGGGCTCTCCCAGTTTTCTACTATGGTCCGATCCGGGGGCTGGATGCGCGGTTATTCCTGTGCGGGTGCCTCTGGGGGTTCTGCACTCAGGCTTTCTCTCGGTTCCTTAGGCTCTGGTCTCCCCTGTGTCTGCCTTGGGTTTTGGGGGTCAGGTCTTTGGTCCTCCACAGTCACTTTTAAATATTCCATCGGAGAAATCGTGTATATCAGGCCAGGCCAACCAGTAGATCGAGATCTAACGGTAGATCTTTAGCTGGTTAGCAGTAGCTCACGGAGCAATGGATCACGGAGCTTGTAGAATGCAACATTGTTTAACATTGCAGCCTTAAACGCGTTCTTTGCAACGTTTGATTAACATTGCATTCTTGAACGCACCCTTGTCAAGGTTTGTTTAACATTGCAGTCTTGAATGCGCTCCAGTCTAGCTAGTTTTGGGTGCTGTGAAACAGCACTCCGAACATGGTCTTGCGAGATTAGGGTCATGTGTTAAAACATGGCAGTGAGGCAGAAAAAAATGAACGAAAGACAGCTAACAAGCAAATAAAAACATTATTTTCACCTGGACTGGGAAGAGGACTAATTCGAGTGCTGCCTTGGCTTGTCCAAAAAGGATAACGTGGAACTGCATTTCTTTCAAAAGAATGCACAGACGCTACGAGGTGGATTTCCCCTCCTAAGGCAAGGCTGCTATGCTAATGCAGCCCCGTACCTGCCTCAACACACGTCTTTCAGTGATGACGAAGTTATGAAAGAAGTGTTTGATGCTGCAGATGTGCTTTTCCAAGATTTTAAAAATAAAAGTGAGATTGTGGCTGCTATATAGACGTGCAGTTGTCCACCAGGATGGATGGATGTGTCCNGGTTTTGGGTTAGAGTAGTGGTGGAGGGGAAACTGGCACCACGCCGGCCTCTGCCTCTTCTTCTTTTCCTTTTTAATTGCTCTAAAGAACAACACGCACCAACAGTACATCGGGGGTGTGGGGGGTGTGTGTCAGGGTCTTTATTCCCATCCCGTTCCCCGACTGCCATTTGGGGAGGGGGTCCTGAAGAAGGGCGGAACGCCAGGTGCGGTCCTGGGCTATGGATGGGCTTGGGGCTTGGACGGTTGCCAGGGGTGAGGTTGGCTCTCCATCCTCCCTGGTGCTGCTTGGTCTCCTGAGGTGTGGCTCTTGGTTCCTGTGGGTGGCCCCCTGGCTGGGGTGGCTGCCGGTTTCCAGGGGTGCATGGCTGGTGGGGGGGGGGACTTGGTTGTTGGCGGTGTGGTGGGGTGGTCATGGTTGTGGCTTCTCTGCGGCAGGGGGCTGGCCGGGCATACTGGTGCGGCCCAAGCCGGACTTTGGTTATCTGCTTAGCTCCACCTCATAATGATTGGGTCTACCTCCTGGGTTCGGGTGTGTGCTGCCTCCAATAGGAGGTGGGTGCATGTCCTGGACCTGGGGGGTATCGAGTGTGTATCGGGGGTATGAGTGGAATGTGGCGTCCTTGCATGTCTTTGATTGAGTGGGGGTGAGGATGAGGGTGGGATGGTATGATTGTGTACGTGTATGTTTGGGTATTTGTCAGGCTGCGGTCTGGGCTGCCCCTCCTGCTGGTTTATCTAGGGGCCCGCTGCTACTCGGCCCCCCGGTGGGGTGTGAGGCTGGCCACCGGCGTGCTGAGGGTTCCCAGGGTCTGGAGCTGGGCGCTGGGGTGTGTGCCGGCCTGGCCTGRYGACTRCCTGCTGGGGCTCGGGGCCTCTGGCCCTGTCGGGCTTTGGCCTGGAGGGGGGGCGCCCTGGGGGCCCGGACTTCTGTGCCCTTTCCTGGATCTGCTCTGGTGTGGCGGTTGCTGGTGGGGCCCATGATTTTGTCGCTGCTGGCCCCACGGGCTGTGCGTGTTGTCGCTGGGGGGACTCTCCCAGTTCTCCCCTATGATCTGATCTGCGGGGTGAGTGGGCAGATCTTCCCGTGCGGGTGACACTTGGGGCTCTGCGCTCGGGATCCCTCCCGGGCCCTTGGGCTCTGGTCTTCCCTATGTCTGACTTGTGTCTTGGAGGTTGAGTCTCCGGTCCTCCACAGTCACTATTAAATATTCCATTGGAGAAATCTTGTTTATACACACATGTTCACAACCGCTCACAAACAGGTGCTCTGATCCGGGGGGTTCTGACTGGTCACTGAGTGTGTATATATGTCTGTGTGTATATACTGACAATGTTTATGAATGTAGGCATGTATGTATGTATATCTTTATACATGTATGGGTATGTGTATATATTTAAATATGCCCTCCTTGTATTTATCCATTTATTTTGCAAGTGAGCGGACAGATGTTGGGTGTGTGGTCCTGTGTTTTGTTGGTGTATATTTAATATACTTCTAATCGCTATTTCAAACTTTCTAATTACTTTTCTCTCTGTTTTTCTCTCTTTCTCTATTTTCTCTTCACTTAAAACAGTCACTGATGATGAAGAAATAAATAAACTAAATAAACTAATAATACTTGGTTTTGTTTTCTACTGAAGTGAAAAAAGTTAAATGGTAAATGGGCTGTACTTACAGT